GGCCAGAGAGGTTTTGAGGGGGGTGTTTGCGACGGACACGCGCAGCGGTGGGACACGCGACGCGACGCGAGGCGCGGGCGGAGCGCCATGCACCAGTCGCGTGGAGCACTGCGCGCGGAAGATGAGGCGCGCGGAGGATGCGGCGCGCGGAATGGAACGTACCCCTTGGTATCGAGCGAGAAGAGCGGGAACATGAGGCTGTCCTCCGCCGCCTGCAGCGTGGACCGCCGGGCGATCTGCGCGCCATGCCGCGCGGGGAGATGCGCGCACAGACGGTGGTGGTGGTGGCGCAGGGGAGAAAGCGGGTGCGGGAGAGATTTTGTCTACGATTCTCAACTATGGGAGGGGAATTGTGGCGCAGTGGGTGTGGCGCAGAGGGTGTGGCGCACAGGGTGTGGCGCAGAGATGGCGCGGGGAGTGGTGGCAAAAGAGTTAGCTTCTCGGCGGGCAATGCGTTGTGACAATAGCATATTCACTCTGTCACCACCTGAGAGACGCCGGCCGCATCGGCGCGCTCCTGCAGGCGCCTCAGGTCGCGCTGGGAGAGACGCAGCGAGCCAGTGTACCGGTCGAATGATGTCTCCGTAAGCACGTGCGCGAGCTTGCGACCATGGTGGCGATGTGCGACGCCGTCGCCGCCGTCGCTAGCGCTACTTGCGTCGCGCGCCGCCTCCGCCTTTGCCTCGAATGCCGCTATCACTTCCGCGAGGTCCTGCGAATAAATTTCCCGGAGACGAAAAAGGGCGTATGTTTTCTTGCATTTCGTAAGGGCGTGTGAACGTAATGGGGCTGTACGGAATGTCGCATCACGGATATCACATCATGCTTTAATGCCGCGACTAGGGTTTGATGTTGCTGCACGCGGTCATGGATTGGTCTGCGAAGAAACGAAACAGAGACAAACCGACGCAAGGACGGTGAATAGAGCGACATTGTCACGTCACGGCGGTGTCATCAGAGCAACGGCACGCGGATCGCGGCACGGGACACGCGGATTTTCTGCACGCCTGCTGCGATTAAGAAGACAACGAAATGTGACGATTTCATTTCATGCTTGAAACGTCACCCGGACATTTCACCGATGCAATGCAATGCAAAGAGGCGTTAATGGTCCAGAAATGACCGACAAACAATGCGTGCGGCCAAATCAAACTTCATCTTCCACAAATGAGACGTCGACTTTCTGAACGCGAACAACAAGACTGATAGCTGAACGCGAAAGTAAAAGAAAGGGGGAAAGGGGGTGGGGGGGGGGGAGAAGGCGAGTCGTCGTCGCGTAGTAGTACCTTCCTGATAAACGAGTGAGATTCGGCGCGCTGAAAAGAGACGGAGAGAAGCAACGCGACGACGACCAGGCGCCAGTTACGGCTGGCAAGGGAAAACGCTGCTGACCGGAGAGCCGCCATGGCTTCGGTGGTACTCTGCGCCCTGCGGCTTGTTTGTGCAGGGAGGGAGAGACGGTCCGGACGGAATTGCTACCACCTTCTCTGGTTTGTCATTTGATATTTCAAGTCAGGGTTTCTCTGCTCGCTGCTGCTGGGTTCTCTTCTCGACTGACGCTCACCACCATTGGTCCACTGAGCCGAGGTGATCCCACAATACAAATCTGTTCAGTGGGCTTTCACCAATCGTGTTTCAGCTTCCCTGCCTGCCTACCTGGCCATCCTTCCAGCAGCCAATCACAAAGTGACCTGGTGCCGTGCCGTGCCGTCTTTTTCAACACCTCAGTGTGTGTACATCGTCTGTGTCGTGTCGTGTCGTACACCACAGTCCCCTAGCTTCCGAACCGACCGACCGAACCTAGACCTCTTCACCCAATGAGTGAACGATTTTCAGAAGTACAAAACTGTACACAATTGTCACGATGTGGTGCTGTGTTCGATGTGGTACACAATTGTCACATGCACAAATTAATGAATACTAGTTTGTTTTTAATTGATATAAGGTTGACGCGCCAACCCGTTATGAGTTTCTCCAGCTCCGGAACAAGCAAGCTCTGTGTACGGGCTTGAGGTAGAAACTTATCCGGAACAAGCAATCTCCCAAATCCCTATGCCAGTGAATATCTTCAGACCAAGATTGCAGCTGCAGTTCACTCACTTGCTTACGTCACAAGACTGAGACCAGATTCCGTGCTTCGCGCTAATTTCACACTCTTACCCTTCTCCCTCACGCGATAGGTGGATTCTGACAGGCTCGTACATGTTACCGATCGGGTAGGTGCTTTTCGCCAATGTTCGCTGCAGATGCTGCCAAGCCAGACCGATGGCGGGCCGCAGCTTTCTGCTCATTCCGACCACGTCTTTAAGTTGCTACTTGTCGGCGACTCGGGCGTGGGGAAGAGCTGTCTGTTGCTGCGATTCGCCTCTGACACCTATGACGACATGTCGCCCACGATAGGTCCGTTCCGAATTGGTCCTGCTGGAACCCGAATTGGTCCGTTAGGGTAGTTGGCGATAGAGTAAACGGAGCCTGAACGAATAAAACTGAACTCGTTTTAGCATGTCGTTCTACGGCACACGCTTGCATGCATCAGTCTGCTCGTTCTTCCAGCAAAGCACCTCGCATTCGCCCATTCTTCAGTCGGCCCAACCTTCCTCCTTCCTTTCCATCCCTCTTTCCTTTCTTCCTTCTCTCCTTCCTTCCTTCTTTCCTTTCGTCCTCCTTTTCTCCTTCCCATACCTGCCCTTAACTCAACTTAGACCCATCTATTTCCCCCTTCCTTCACCATACATCCAATCCCTGTCTCCACCTCTCACCTCCCACCTCCCACCTTTCACGTGCCTGTCCGTGGGCTTTTCAACCCTCCTCAACCCCCCTCAACCTCCCTCAACCTCCAAGGAGTGGACTTCAAGATAAAACCCGTGAATGTCAACATGGTCAAGCAGGTCAAATTATTGAGGCGCCTACCTAAAACATCGCATTGCAACCCCCCGCATCCCCCAGGAGTGGACTTCAAAATCAAATCCGTGATTGTTAATGGCAAGCGGGTCAACCTCACCATCTGGGATACAGGTTCGTTCAGCTCGCCAGCCTGCCACACACACCACACAAAGAGCAACTGAGGCGCCTCGGAAGTCGTCCCACAAAGCACAGACAGTTACTGAATCGCTGTAAAAGTCGTGCCCCCATCGCCTTCCATAACCTCCCATTGTACTGTCACTCCTACTTTCAGAGCCCGTTTCCTGTCTTTCATCTCCTCATTCCGCTCCACTCAACCTCTCTTTTTCCGTCTCGCTGCCCACTCCCCCTCCCCCCCCAATGTCCATGTCCCCGTGTCGCCAGCTGGTCAGGAGCGCTTTCGAACGCTCACCAGCTCTTACTACCGGGGGGCAGCAGGGATCATTTTAGGTGAGTTCTGAGATTATGACGCAAAACAAAGAAAACAAGTGTGGTGGAGGGGTGGATGGCATTGAGGCGCCTCAAAACTGGACTTCCCGCTCTTTGCCTCCCCTCCTCGCCCTCGCCCTCCCCTCCTCGCCCTCGCCCTCCCCTCCTCGCCCTCGCCCTCCCCCGGGCAGTGTACGATGTGACGCGCAGGGAGACGCTTACAAGTGTGGTGGACGGGTGGATGGAGGAGGTGCAACGCTACTCCACCCTGCCTGGCTGTGCGCTCATGCTCGTGGGCAACAAGGCGGATCGGGTGAGTAACAGAGTGTGCGGGGGAGGCTCTTTCTTAGGCGCCTCCAAGGATGGCGGAGGAGGTGCAGCGCTATTGTAGTGCTATTTCTTAGGGTGAAATGAGTGAGTGAGTGAGCGTTTTTGTGGGTGGTTGAGTGAGGGTGTGCGTTGGTGGGTGAGTGAGTCTGTGAGTGAGAGAGTAAGAGGTGGAATGGGTGAGTGAGTGAGTGAGAGAGTATGAGGTGGAATGGGTGAGTGAGTGAGAGAGTATGAGGTGGAATGGGTGAGTGAGTGAGTGAATTGATGAGTGAGAGAGTGAGAGGTGGAATGGGTGAGTGAGTTAGTGAATTGGTGAGTGAGAGAGCAGCAGTGAGATGGTATGGTAGAGTGTGGCTATGTGCTGCGGTGTGTTCTTTGGGGCAATACAACCGTGCTCTCTATTCAGATACATACCCACACTGCACTATGTGCACGATTTTTTAGGCGCCTAAAATTCGTCGCAATGCAATTGTGCAGGGAAGGTTTATTCAGAGACAGGCCCACACTGCACTATGTGCACGCACAATGTTAACCTCCAAAAACCACAGGAACCGGCATATAAAACATCTCCAAACCCTGTCTCCCTCTCTACCCACTGCACGACCCCCATAAGAAACGAATTCCCGAGGCGTTTCTAAAACCTGCCTCTCCCTCGATCCCACTGGGCGACCCATGGTCACAGGAAGCGGATCGCGAGGTGGGCAAGGAGGTGGGGGCGGAGCTGGCTCGCTCCTGGGGCTGCCTCTTCCTTGAGTGCTCCGCTAAAACACGCCTCAACGTGCAGCAGTGCTTCTCAGAACTCGTGCACAAGGTGGGAAGGGGAGGAGGGGAACTGAAAAGGGGTCTGGGGAGGGGGGGGGTGGCGGTGGAGGGTTTGATTGCTGCATGTTTTGGGTGCTTGGAAGGCAGGAGGGGGTGTACTGGCTGATTTTTATGCGTCTAGGTGTACAAGGAGGGGAGGGTATTGCATCGGCCATGCGTCTCTCTCCCCCTTCCATCATATCAGGGGAGAATGCCTGTTTCTTTTTCTCCATAAGCCCTAGTGCTCGAGTTTCAAATGCACGCACTCTCTTGACCGTTTCTTATGCTTTCCCCCAAACTACTCTCCCTCTCTGTGTCTCCCTTCTCACTCAACCCATCCCGCCCTCCTTCCCATCATCCCCACACGGCGCCACACACGTCCCTCTCTCTTTCTCTCCATCCGTGTGTCCTCTCATCATTAGATCATGGAGACGAGCTGCTTGGTGGACCCAAGTTCAGCAGCGCATGCTGGTCTGCCCAGGAACCTGCAACCCAGGCAAGGGGAGAGCGGCAGCGGCGCAGGCTCGTGTGCGTGTTGACTCTTGGGGTGTTTGAGAGAGGTCACTTGTCATTTTCAGGCTGTTGCTGCTGCACACTGGCAGAGGTGGTGGTGGTGCCATGCAGGTACAGTGCTATTGGGCGCTACTGGGTGGTTGGGTGGTGATGCGCTTGCAGGTACACGTAGGGGACATATTGCAAGACTAAACGATATGGTATTGGTTGTATGTAAGTTTGGTAGGTAGGTATTCTTGTCAGGCTGTGTTTTGGATGAATGCAATTAATCAGTTGGGCCTTGTGCAGTAGTTCTTTTCACTCAAGAACCTCAACTGGAGGATGAGTTCTGATTTCATGAGTTCTGTATATGTAAGTATTGCCATATCATCATTGCAATTGTAGCATTACAAAAAGGGGCATACCGGTAATTGCCACGCCCTCCCTACCTGAACGTCGAGTGCCAATGAGAAAATGGTGATAAAATCCCGGTTCTACCGGTACTACACAATCCGAAAGAACCACATGTGAACATCCACAGCTATCCACTTCTTGCTACCGTACCTCCGCCAACCAGACCCAGATGGCCACAGCAAGAGAACGTGTGATGTGAAGAGGAGTAACAATGATGTGAGTGAGCATGCCTGCACTACTACTCCTGCAAGAGCACACAACGCAAGCCTGGCAAACTGCACTCCTCTCCCCTCCCCTCCCCTCCCCTCCTCTCCCTCCATCCCGCTACGCAGCAGCCGGTTCCAAATCCGTCCCAGCGCCCTCCTCCCCACCCGCACCTGCACCTGGTGCAGCCACCACCTCCACCGACTCAACCACCTCCACCAGCTCAACCTTGTACGCAAAATCCGCGGGGATCCACGCGCGGCTCTTGGCGGTCTCTGCGAGCGCGGCAAACTGCAGGAAGGCGTTGGGGAGGTCGAGCACGAGGTCGGGGAGCGAGTCGGCCACGCGCTGGAAGCCGCGCGCCATCTGGTTGGTGGAGATGAGCGCCTCGTCTGAGGCCTCCTGGAGGAGTTCAAGCACGCGCGGCTCGTGCTTCGGCTCCTCCATTGCTCGCACCAACGCCTGCTTGACGATCTGCAGGGAGGGGAGGGGGAGGGGTGGAGAGGGTGCGTGGTGGGGTGGGATTGGCGGGGAGGATAGATGGAGGTGGATTGTTGATGTCCCCATCCTCATCCACAAACACTTTCAAGAGTCAGCATCGCCGCACGCACCTCGTGGTGGAAGAAGGGCAGGTTAAGCTCGCGGATGCAGCGGCACGCCTCGCCAAGCTCCCCGCCCGCCACATACTCGGACAGCAGCGACGTCACACTCTCCTTGGCGTCCGCCACGCTGCGCCCCACCGCTGCACTGCCCCCCCAGCACCGCAGCAGCCGCTCCCCCGCGTGCCGCGCTGTGATCAGCGCCTGCGCCATGTGTACCACCTCCCTAGCCAGCGACGATGCCGCCACTGCAGCCAAAGCCGGCCCGGCGCCTCCCACTGCTGCTTCCTCCGCCTCCTGTGCTGCCGCTGCCGCTGCCGCCGCTGCTGCAGGAGCGGCAGCGTCGGCAGTGGTGGTAGAACCGGTGGCAGGAGCGCCGGAGGCAGGAGTAGGGGGAGGCGCGGAGGTGGTGTCGGCGGGAGGAGCATCGGAGCCGGTGGGGGTGGCGGGAGGGGCGTTGCCGGGGAGGCCGAGGACAAAGTGCGGGGCGAGCACATCGTCAATGACTGCACGGGCGATGAAGAGGGCGAGCTGCGAGGCTGCATCGGGGATGTCAAGAGCTAAGTCGTCCACTGCTTCGAGCAAACGCAGGAAGCCCATCTCCACCTGGGGTGGGAGCAGGAGGGGAGGAACAGGGGTAGGGGGAAACAGGAAGGGGCGAGTGGTGTGAGTGAGTTGCGTTTCGGCACCAGGGATGTCGAGGGCCAGGTCGCCCACTGCTGACAAGAGACTCAGGGAGTGCAGTGATGCCAGCGAGGCCGAGGACGAAGCGTGGGGCGAGCACGTCGTCGATGACTGCACGGGCGATGAAGAGAGCGAGCTGAGAAGCGGCATCGGGGATGTCGAGAGCTAAGTCGTCCACTGCTTCGAGCAGACGCAGGAACCCCATCTCCACCTGGGGAAGGGGGAGCGGAGGCGGATGGGGTGTGATGGGCAGATGATAGGAATGCAGAGTGAGGGCCTTATGGACGTCAAGGGCCAGGCCGTCCATGGCTTACAGCAGACGTAGGAAACCCATCTCCATCTGGAATGTGGGGGGAAGCAAAAGTGGGGGAACGGGGATGGGGTGGGCAGGGGATGAGCTTCCATAGTGGAGGCATTGGGGATGATGAGAGTCAGATCACGGCTTCAGGACACCGCCGCAGGAAGCCCATGAAAAGTGGGAGAGAGAGCGGGGGCGGGGTGGGGGTTGGATGGTGATGGAATGAGCAGTGAGGTGGAGGTTGTGGTTCTGTGCGTGAGCGGATGAGTGGGGAGAGAAAGTGTTTCTGGGGTGCTGAGTGGAACGTTTTGGCTGAAATTTGGTGTGCACCGCGCTGGGATGTGTGGAACTGAGACACCATGCACCTCATGGTGATTGTTGTCCTTGACTTCCCCATTTCTTGTATCACTTTTAAGCATTCTTAAAGTGATACAAGAAGCAACCATTTAGAGTCTATCTCATTTCGCATTGACCATGGTGGGACGTAGCTATTTTAGAAAGAGCCTATTCCCACTGCCGCACCCCTTTTCACATTCTTTGCCCCAACCCCACGCACCTCATTGGAGGACAGGATGTCTTTAACAATTGTTTACATGCACCTCCACCCAATGTATGGTCTGTGAGCATCTCCTGGTCTGTAAGCGAGCAGTATGCTTGGAAATACCTGCACTCCTGATCCAGCATCAAGCATCCATCACTCAGCGCACGCCTTGCAAGCTTTTCAAGTTTCCCGCGTTTCCCCACCCTTCCCGTTCCCATCCCTGTGCGCACCTGGTCGGTGGGCAGCACGTCTTGGAAGAGAGCGGAGAGCAGCTGGGAGGCCATCTCGCGCTCGCGGTTGTTGCGGTCCAGCGCCATGGTGACCAGGCGCTTCACGAGGTGGTGGTGCAGGTCGGGGTACGCCAGCTCCTCCAGCGACCGCGCCACCTCCACCACATCACCCGACTCGAAATACTCAGCTACTATCAGGGACGAGCGGGCTTTGAAGTCCTGCAGAACCTGTAAGGACGGGAGCAGGTAGAAGGGTGGAGCGGAGGGGAAGGGGAACAGGGGGGGAGAAGCAGGGGAGGGGAGAGAAGGATGTGAAGCGAGGGGAACGCGTGAGGGTCCTTCTTGGCTTCAAGGCTTCACGAGGTGGTGGTGCAGGTCGGGGTACGCCAGCTCCTCCAGCGACCGCGCCACCTCCACCACATCGCCCGACTCAAAGTACTCGGCGACAATCAGGGATGACCGGGCTTTAAAGTCCTGCAGGACCTGTAAGGATGGCAGCAGCGGGGGGCGAAGGGGGAGGGGAGGCGGGTGGGGGGAAGGAGGGGAGAGGGGGGAGGCGGAGGGATGCAGGGCGAGGAGAACGTGTGAGGTGCTTCAGGGTCCTTCACGGCTTCACGAGGTGGTGGTGCAGGTCCGGGTACGCCAGCTCCTCCAGCGACCGCGCCACCTCCACCACATCGCCTGACTCGAAATACTCGGCCCTATCAGGGATGAGCGGGCTTTAAAGTCCTGCAGAACCTGTGCGGATGGGAGCAGGAGGGGAGAGGGGAGGAAGGAGAGGGGAGGGGAGGGGATTGGAGGGGAGGAGGAGAGGGGAATAACTGAGGCTCCACCACCACTCAACTCAATGTTGAGTGATCCACCATCGTTGGATATAGCCAGATTGAAGCTATTTCACCTCCTTGTAACCTACCGTTACCTTGACCCTCTCTCACATATTCTTGTTGCGTTAGTGTTTTGAGTCGACGTTTTGAGTCGACTTAGAAACACGGTTCTTGAACCTCTCTCAAACAGAACTGTTCCCTTCCCTCCTCCGTCCCGCCCCTCTCTCCCCCACTTGTTCCAGCCTCCTCTCTACCCCTCCATCTTCCCCTCCGTCCTTCGCTCTCTCCATCCCTCCCCTTTTCGCCCCGCGTCTGAGTGTCTCCACCCTTGACCACCCCTCCACCCTTCCCCAACCGCCTCTCCCCCCTCACCTTGCAGGACACGGTAGTGACAGACGCCTCAGCAGCAAGGAGTCCAGCCCAGACTCCGTCAGCGTCCCACCCTCCCCTCTTCCCCCTCTGTCAGGCACCGCTCCCCCCACTCACCCCCTTCTCTCCACTCACCCCGGCTCCTCCCCCCCCCCTCTCACCTTGCTGGTCTCAGCGGTAACCGAAGCCTCAGCAGCAACGAGGTCGGCCCAGACGCCGTCAGCAAAAGCGGAGGAGAGCCAGCCGTGCGACGTGGCGTGCGCCACCATGCGCTGCAGGTCGTCTGGTGCTGACGGCACGTCCAGAGCCAGGTCGTCAATGTTCTGAAACACACGCCCAAAGCCCTTGCTCACCTGGGGGGAGGGAAGGGGAGGGGTTGAGGAGGGGCAGAAGGGAGGAGAACAATTCGTTAGGCATCGCGGGCTGACGGCACGTCCAGAGCCAGGTCGTCAATGTTCTGAAACACACGCCCAAAGCCCTTGCTCACCTGGGGGGAGGGAAGGGGAGGGGTTGAGGAGGGGCAGAAGGGAGGAGAACAATTCGTTAGGCATCGCGGGCTGACGGCACGTCCAGAGCCAGGTCGTCAATGTTCTGAAACACACGCCCGAACCCCTTGCTCACCTGGGGGGAGGGGGGGGTAATGGGAAGGGGGAGTGATGGGAAGGGGTTTCCGGTGCCAGAAAGGGGGTTCCGGCCCCCAGGGGGGTTCCAGTGCCAGGAAGCTTGTATCGTTACACGCCCATGGCGTGTTCAGAGACAGGCTGGTGAGAAAGCTTGGACAGCAAAAGCGAACAAACGCCCAACGCCCTTGCTCACCAAACGGCGGAAGAGAGTGGGGGGGAGGGGAGGGGAAAGGGAGAGAGGGGGGGGTGTGGGAAGAAAGG